TGTGATTTAGACTTTGTGCAATAGAAATCCAGAGACAATGGTGTTTTAGATATGCAAAGAATAAAAGTGCCATTCTAGAACTTTGCTTATGCTTCAGTAAGCATGCTTACCTTTAAAAGAGGGAATTTGGAGAGAATATCAGCCTTCAGCTCTTCTGCCATTAAAATGGTTTCAAGCAATTGAATATCTGCTCTGCTGAGCTGATTTCCTACCAGGTAATTTTGTCCATGATCTTTGAGGACCTATAGAGCAGGAAATGTTTGAAGAGTACTTCAGGTACATACACAAAATGGAGAATCTATATCTGAACCACTTTTGAATACCACACGCCCAGATTATATTGTATCAGGAGATCAAGAGTATTTGCATCAGTTCTGATTCATGTCTTCTAACAAACTGCTGGCTCAGAAAGAGAAGTTTGATCATTACATTCCCTCTTCCCAAACAACTGCTTATCATGTTCAATGAGGCAGGGCAGGTTCTGAGATCAGAGTTCACATGGTAAATGAACACTGTGTGTGATTCCTGATCTTCTCTCACACAACTAATTTTTGTTTTACTTTTTTACTTTTAGCTCAGAAGCTTGGAAAATACAAGCAATAAGAAAATGATTTCTGATGAGCCAAGCAGTCCTATCAACATTACCAGCTGCCAACTCCAGCTGAGCATAGGTGACTTCGTTCTGTTAAAAGGTTTGTAAGTTTCCTCCGCCCCATACCTTTTCAAAGACTGGGAAGTATCTGGTGGTGGCTTTTTCAATAACGTTTGCAAACTCCTTCTCCTTGCTGTCAGCTGGCTTGAAGGAAGCATCATTATCAATTCATTCAGATCCATAGTACCTTCGCAATACATATCAATCCTATTTGAAAGAGAAAGTGTTTCCTTCTCTCAAACTCAGGTAATAATAAGAAAAACAGTAGTGGTAGCAGCAGCAGCAGCAATAGTACTAATTCTGATAATGCAGAGCCAAAACTTTGTGGAGGAATTGGGTGGTAGTGTCACGGGCAAAAATGTGTGATGACCCAGCAGAAAAACAAGTACAATGATTCTGTATGTTGGAGAAAGGGCATTTTCCCTGGAAAGAGCCTCTCTCTATGCAACAAAAGCCCCTATAATTTGCTTGCCAGTATAGTGATCTTCACCAGTTAGACCTTTTATAAAGAAAGCCTTATATCAAAAATCAATTTTATACATTTGCAAGAACCCCCCCCAAAAAAAACATTGGGAAGGGACAATGACCTCCCAATCTCCTATTGGGATTACATGAAAATTCATTGATTTCAAATGAACCAGTACACATGAACTTTGCTGGGACTGGGAGGTCAAATTACCTCATACTGGACCCTTTCTTGCCCAATCTGACAGTAGAGATGAAACATGCTGACTCATAACTCATCAGTAGATCATATGACAGACCAGAGATGATGTTATATCATGTACAGCAAACCAAAGTATGCATTTAGTAACCAAACTTAGAGGAATGTTACAGTACCATGCTCTCTGCTTCACGTCCTTCCCGGAGAGATTATATTTGGCGGCAATGTAGTTGAGAATAGCTCGGCTCTGCACCATCTTCATCCCATCCATTTCCACCATGGGCACTTGCTGAAAGAGCAGGTCTCCACCTTGTGAAAGGAAGATGAAAAATCAGTCCATCCTCCCAGGTAATTACTGTGGAAAGTAAATTTTCAGGAGCATCTCACAAGCCATGCTTTGATTTTGAGACTTTACTTTTACATTGAGCCTTTGCAATAATCATGTTTGCTTCTGCTTTTCCCTCAAAACCCTTTTGCAGAACATGTGTTAAATTAGTACAGCAATGACACATTGGAAACTAGTTTTGTATGTTATTTAAGCTACTTCTGTTCTGCAGCTAAAAGACAAGCAAACCATTCTGCACAATGCAGAGTTGAGTGGTATGTGTTGTGGGTATCTGGATAACTCTCTTTTCTTTCAAAGAAGATGGGGAAAGGCAATATGACCAGATCTCAACTGTGTATCACACGCATTCCTGCCTGAAAGTGTGCACAATGCAGAACTGGAGAAACAAGTCCACTTTGAAAACTCCTGCTATTAAGACTATAAGGCTTTACTGTACTAGAAGACAGTCCCACTGATACTCAGATAACATACTCACCATGCTTTAATTTTTCTAGATATTCTTTTGTCTCAATTAATTGTTCTTCAAACTAAAAAATAAAAGAGGCAGAATATTTCAAGGGTCTCATGAAATAATTTCAGGCTCCAAAAATGACACAGGGCCTTTCAAGTTTTCAAAATTTGATGAAAAATCCCCTTTCACAGCCGAATTCTGGGCCAGCCCGCCCAATAATCTTCCCTGTCTGGGACAGAACAACAAATGTTTCCCATGCACAAAT